ACTGTTTATTTCATTACAAATACATTTAAAATTATTATTATGAATCTTAACTTACAATTTTTGTCTATTGCCGATGGTTAGCTGTGTAACAAAAAAATCCTATTAACTCTATTTTAAACGGGCATGTTACAAATCTACAAAAGAAACAATTTATCACACTATAAACTATGTAAGTACTAAGTACCTATAGTTGTAAAAATGTATGCAATATTATAGGTAAGTACTACATGATATACCTATACCGAATGTTCTTCACCAGTGGTCCGGCAAAGTAAATTTTATTCTACATTATATTGATATTTGTATTTCACTTCATAAAAAGACAGTGTACAATTTATTACTAGATAATTATTACATTTATACTCGTGATAAAAACAATCTTTAAGTACAGTTTGTGACAAAGGTAGGAAGTTAATATTAGTTACAATATAATTTATTAGCTTGCCTCACCATAGCAAGATATTTTAAGTATACGTATAATAAAAATACCTATGCAAATATCAAAGTAGATTAAAATACAATTTTTAATAATTAATGTAGGTACCTATAATATAATATGCCTATTTGATATTCAATATAATGACCAGTCTTACAGTATTTTTCACTGCGTTTTGGTTTTTTTAATCTAAATCAAGAATTGAAACATTTGGAAACAAGATAATCCATAAATTGTTGACCAAAATAAATGTATTCTTACAAATACTTTATGCATCATATGTCCTACTTGATACGTCCCTAATCCACACTACACCAATTTTCCATATCCTTTATTCCCAACCTATTCACAGAATTTAAAATTTTTTTTATAAATTGATTTAGTGGGAAAAACTTTGAATTCATAGTTTTGTAACGTAGATCTTCCAAGCTGCGTTTATAAACACATATCTTAACAATTTTATTTTGGTGCAATTGCAGAAGCTTATCTAATAGATTTTAAGGGGAAGACGGGCAAGTCCTTCTCAAACTAGAATGCCTTATTGAAAAATAACCATTAGGATTATGATATATCACAATGTTAATAAGAAAAATATCTTTAAGTCTAGAGAATTGATAAAGGTTCTTAAACACATAAGTCATAACTAGGTACCTATATAGGTATTATCTTGGTGTACATTCGGTGCAGTGGGTAACAAGAGAGCCAAAGACTCAGGTGCCCTCTCAGCCCTTCTTTCTTGAGCATCATAAAATATTAAAATCTATGTACAAAATAACGGTCTGACTTCAGACCATGGATAATTCCGAGTCAGAACTGACCGAACTTTTCATTTTTCAATGGGCCGGACAAGGGCAACGTACGTTGATTTTACGCGCACCGTGTACATCCCATCTTATGTTTTCATCAAAAGTAAAACAGGTAATAAGTATCGATCGTGTACAAGGAATTTTTGAAATTGATTTACAAATATTGTTGATACTTAGTTGTTCCTTTTTTTACAATAGTGGACAGTAATTTTATCAAGAGGCAAATTATTTTGATTTATAGTTAAGGACAGTGAATTTTATTAATATTTAATAATAGTTTACTTGAACTTAAATAGGAAGGTTATCAAAAACTTTTTTTAGTTAATTTTTTGATTCCCCATAATAGGGCTAGAAAAAAGGAAATACGTAGGTAACAAATGTATAGGAAAGTAGTTATTTTCCCGAAAATTACTAGAATGTATAGGTATAATGTTTCTATATACTTTAAAAAATCGAATTAAGTATAGGTACTTCTTTGAGGCTTTCTGTTTCAATATACCATTTACCATAATTAACTATCTGAGTTATTTTATTTAAATAACTTTTAACCCATTTTAGACTAGCTACCTACTATACAGTCTAAGTAACTAGGTACGTATAGACTATAACTAGTTTATGCATCGATTGAGGAGCAGCCCACAATCCAAAAAATATAAAGAACCTCTCACATATACTGCAGTTAGGTATTAAATATTAATACCTAATAGGCAAAGATTATATCTTAACTCCTAAGTGTAAAATGGTTAAAATAATGAAGTAGGTATGTAAAGGTATTAGTTATATTGGTAGGTATGTAGACGTATATGAAGAGGCATCACGCATCAGTGGCGTCATTAGCAAATGGTTCTGGATGGGATAGGTACCTATACATTTTATAATCGTACCTAATACCCAGTGGACTTCATAGATCATAATATTATATAGGTATTAATATATTACTATAAATTAAATAATGGTTTTTAAAGACTAAAGTAAACAATTAAATTAAATGTATTATTTATAAATATAATATAAAGCCCATCTTTCTTTTGCTAAAATATCTAGTAGGTAGATATATATGTCTTTGGGATACAATTTTATGTCCCTATGCACTGACAATATTGTTTTCGAATTGTTAAATTTCATAATCATGAATAGGTAATAATTTGGCAGGGATTTTGATGTATTTTGAACTGTTTTCTAAATCTAGCCACCGGATGCTCGTTTTGAAGCTTCGCGTTTCATGCTATTTTTTATAATTCTATAAAATGTATGTTATCATTTAGGTATACCGCATTGTTTATTAAAATTAATTTAAAAAATGCTGTGCATTATTCGGAATTTGTAGGCCTATAAGTATTAAGATCCCAGGCCTCAATATTGTGTACCTACCTTAATAATTATAAACAATACTAACAGTCTTCATTTATTCTGTGAGAAGGTATAAGTTTTATCTTATAACTATGATAATAGAAGAACCATTGTCCACAATCCAATGGTTTTGTCAAATCATTGTCCTGGGATATGGTTGATTTTTTAACATATAGGTGGTACTATCTATTTGATTATTAAAATTTGAAAGCACAAAATAGGTTTTACCTAAAATGAAAAGTAAAATATATGATCATCGGATCTTAAACTTTGAAAAAAAGATCACGGGGGGGATATATCCGAATATCTTACCCCCCCCTTATTACGCCACTGATGGACATGGCTAAATTGTCTTAATGGTTAATCATTTAGGCATTTATTCTACAATTGGTCCATTCAAATGATTTACTATAGGATTATACTAAGATGGATCAAACTGTTGAAATTTGAAAGTATGAAAGAAGATGCTAATATTAAAAAAAATCACTTATTTTGTTATAAAAATAGATTTTCAGAAAATTATTTACTGCATTTGCTTAAAACTTAAAAATTAACAATGATCACTATCCAGATACTACCTTAACAATTTTATTTTGAAGTTGGAATACAATTTTAAAAACATTACCAGATCTTTAGGATACTGACAAATAATTTCGATAATGAAAACCCAATAAAATAAGAATTCACAATCGCCTCCTAATTATCATATATAGTTAGGTGGTATATTAAATCAATTAAAAAATTAAAAATTAATAATGAATAATAATAAATTATTTATATTTGTTACCTATTTACTATATGTTTATTTTTTATTAAATTAATTACTTACATTTCATTATTCTAAAATAAGGTGATTTCACATATATTTATAACGCCTCGTAATATCATAGTACTTATTATAAATGTTATAATATTCTAGGACAAAATTTTATAAAAACCATTCAATTTACTATTTTAATGATTTGAAAGCTTTATATTAATCCATACCAACAACTAAAATTTGTATAAAACGATCTTAGTATCCTCTTACTTCTAAAACATTCTATAATTTAGGTAATACTTTTAAACTATTATTCCAACTGCTTCAGTTTTTTTTACATTGCACTTTCTTAAATATTTATTTAGTTAAAACTAGTTTGTACGTAGGTAGGGATTTTCAATTTTAAAAGTTATCAAAACTTGATTACAATATTTGTCAAATTAGAAATTCTAATGTTTATGACTTCTGACAAATATATATTCAATAGAATAGATCTTAACGAAGTCATTGAAAAATAAGAGTGAATTGGTTCAAACGGAACTTAGTTATTAAGCGTCAGGGCCTTAAAAATATAATTTTTCAAATAGTTCTATTAATTAATTTGTTAGATGTTAGGTACCTAGGTATGCATTAGGATATTGCAGTGCTGTATTCAATTATCAAAAAGTTTTAAATTAATTTATGACCGCATTTGTTACTTTATTATTTAAGACCAAATGGCCAATATAATAATTGTTGGTACACAAGTATCTAATAAGGAATATTTTTTTTCTAAAAAGAAGAAAATGTGAGCTGCTTAAATATCTACCCTTGGCCTGAAAAACATTAGCAATCCACTCCTGTATATTGATATTTAGAAATGGTAAGACACATTATATTTTAAGTACAATATCACTTACCTTTTTTCCAAAAACGTTGAATTTCATTTTTTCCCTCATTAAATGATATAGGTACCTAGTTACTTGAATAATATTGATTAGGTATTAGATTCATTTTCTGTAATCCACAATAAATATCTTTTGACCATCTTATATTTCATTTGAAAAATTTAATTAAGGTAAAAAACTATAGGGTAGTTTAATATTACACTAATAACGCAAATAACTATTATTATAACTTATAAGTAACAGTATCTTGTATCTGATACCATTTTTCACCTAGAATGTATGTATGGAAATAATCAGTAGGTATAAATACATTTTAGCCTTTAAATGTGTAAATACATTAGCCTTGCATTACTGAAATAGGCAGTGTTGTAAAAAAAATTGATTTATAAGTATGAGTTACAATTCAACAATGGACTGTTTAACGTAAGCTCAATAATATTTTGTCGTTTTAATTTGGACAAATATGGGAATTCATAAACACAAATTACAAAAATAACGCATTATTATTCTATTATATAATTAGTATAGGATTAACATAGACCATATCTGCTTACAAGAGGAAAAAAAATCAGCATTATGTGGACACTAATGAGAAAATATTAGTAACGCATGTCATACAGATACCTAATAACTAATAAGTAATAAGTGTTGGGCAAATCTCAGTTTTCAAAAAATACATACCTAGCGCAATCATTTGTCATACAAAATGTATAGTTTAAAGTGCTGCACCATTAAGTATTTAACATTGAAAAAATTTATAGAAGAAATTACATGGGGTGAACGACACAAACAAGCATTAATACTTTTTTTTGGTCTGGTCATTTCATATGGGTTGAGAGTTAATCTGTCGGTTGCCATTGTAGCCATGACTGACAAATCAAGCGCCAATACACATTTTATAGTGAGTATGACATATTATAATATGCAAGCAAACAAGCTCTTTAGGTAATTACACAAAATGTAATTTATATAAAAAACTGCTCAGGAGTTGCCCTGGAACGAATCATCAAAAAGCCAAGTATTAAGCTCATTTTTTTGGGGATATCTAATAACTCAAGTATACGCTGGACAAATGGCACAGAAGTATGGAGGGAAATATTTCTTGGCTGGTGCATTAGGAATCAGTGGTGTCTTGACAATATTCACCCCGGCATCAGCGATACACGGTGGTGTATTAGTTATGTGTGCAAACAGAATGGTTCAAGGAATGGCACAAGTAAGTCAAAACAATGGAGGGAAAATATTTTTTCATAAATATATTTATTTATAGTACGTTTAAGCTACACTGTTCTAAAATGTATTGGTATAATAGTTTTTTTTTTTAAATGAATAAAATATATTTTCTATCCGTATATTAATTTATATAATGAATAAAAAGGTTGAAATTAATATTTACTATATTGGTCATTGGATGAAGAGATCAAAGGGAGTGTTCAGTGACATTACTTCAAGTAGGTAAAAAAGTTTAAAAATATATTTATGCTGGTAGTTAACATTTCAAAAAATGTATTTTATTTATTTCTAAATTACCAAGTAGAAAATTTTTGAATAAGCAACCGTTAAATAAATATATTATCTTGTAATAAAAAAAATATGTGTCAAATTTGTTTAATCAACTTTTTTTTATAACATTTAAGAGTATTAGTATTGATATAACCAATAGTCATTGTTTAAACTGAACGTGTTTACTTATATAAATTAAAATTATATTTTAACCTACTATGTAGCTCGCAAGTATAGAAATGAAATACCTTCTACATTAAATAACAGAAAAATATTTTGTTTTAGGGTTTCATATTTCCAACAGTTAATGTTTTGCTATCAAAATGGGCACCTGCATCTGAAAAAGGACGTTTGATTTCATTTGTGTTTAGTGGCACACAATTTGGATCATTGGTTATGCTTCCCACCGCAGGTCTATTAGCTAGTAGTTTAGGAGGTTGGCCATCTATATTTTATGTAAGCGGTGCTTTGACATTAGTCTGGGCACTGGTTTGGTCTTTAATGGGAGCTAACAGCCCATCAGAACATCAAACTATCAGTGAGGCAGAAAAAAAATTCATTATTACCTCATTAAGTAATACAACATCAAATACGGTAAATTGAGAAAATTCTAATAGATGTGTATCTATTATAATATGTTACTTTTGTAGCCTTTACCAACTCCTTGGGGAAAGATATTTAAGTCAATTCCTATGTGGACACTTATAATTGCACACCTAACCCAGAACTTGGGTTTCTGGATTTTAGTAACAAACATGCCAACCTATATTAATTATATACTAAAATTTGACATTAAATCAGTAAGATAATTTAAAGAATTAAAAGGTTCAAATTCATATACTAATTATATATTATTACTTAGAATGGGTTTTTATCTGCTATGCCATACTTGATCATGTGGATCCTGATTATAGCATTTTCCTGGATCAGTGACTACATCAGGACACATGGTTTGATGACAAATACAAATCAAAGGAAAATTTGGAATAGCTTAGCTCACTGGGGCGGAGCTTTAGCATTGGTCTCACTTTATATATTTGACACATCAACTACAGGAGCAATAGTTTTGTTGACTGCAGCCCTTGGTTTAAACAGTGGCGTTTTCACAGGTTTTTTGACTAATCATTTAGATTTGGCACCAAATTTTGCAGGCACACTATTAGGAATTACCAATAGTATAGCAAATATTACATCAATATTGGGACCATTGTTGGTAGGCTTTGTTGTAACGGACAGTGTAAGATATATATATATTTTTTTAAATTGCTACAAAATGTAAAAGTATTTTTTGTTTTAGAGTAACAAAGACCAATGGGGCATAGTGTTTTTATGCTCAGCTGGGGTCTTCTTCATTGGAAACTTATTTTATGTTATATTTGGAACTGCTGATACTCAATCATGGAACGATTCATCGATAAACAACGAAATAAAAACAGGTGATAATGAAGACCCATGAGTTACTACTACAAAATATTTGATGGGAATTAAATGCAAATTTGTTTTAAGTTATTTAAATATAAATAATGTACTCTAAATATTTTAGTATCATTAATGATAGTATTTATTTATAAAATTTTAAAAATTATGTATAAAATTAAATAATTAACACAAATTATACTTCAAATTGTAAAAAAACGTCTCCTTTATCAATCACCCAACCTAAAACACATCATAAGATTTGAATTTATTTTCAACAATCACAGAAGTGTTAATCAGCGCCCAAAGTAGTGTGCAAAGCCATTATGATATGTTGAGTCATTTATTACCGCAACCATTTTGGCTTATCCCAAAAATCGCATTTGACATGCAAAACTACACTAAAAACAATCTGTACGCAGATTTGAAACAAATATTATGTAACTTGTAATAATATAATGTGTCGCCTGTTGTGGTTAACAGGGGACTTGGTAATACAAGTCCAACAGGTCAGCTGTGAGGGATAGCCTCGCCTGGGGCTGTGTTTCAGGGGACCCAATTTAGGGTCCAACAGCTTCACTGTGACGACAACAACCAACCTCAATCAGCGAACGTAGTATATTTGGACGGCAGGACTTGATAGACAGATACAAGTACCTGGTAGTGACGACTATTCAGATTTACAAGATCCGTAGACTACCTTAAATAGGTATTAAGAGGATGACAAAAATCATTCATAAATATAATAAAACTGTTCCAAATAACTAACTGTTATTACACAATTTAAAAAATGTATAAGGTTATAGAAATATTGATACTAATTAGTAATTATTTTTGAATAATGAAAATGCAATACTCAGGAAATATATAAATAATTAAATATTTAAATTGCCAGTTATGGAATACACTTTAGATTGAAATAAAAAATAACTAGGTAATATGAGAGGGATACAAAGATTTGTTTTTAATTTAATCACATACAGAGATCAATTAAGATTAAGGATTATTATATAGTTCATCACAACTATATTTTGAGTTATCTTAAGAATTCCAATTTTATATACAGACTGGTATTTTAATTTGATTAGAACAATATCCATAAACAGATAATTTTAAATAAAATCTCAATTCTGAATATCAGTATAATACTTTGATCACTCTTATATGGTATAATTACGTCTTCAAATAATTGGCAATAAGAAAATTGAATGAAGGATTAATAAACTTTCGTGAATGAGGTACTCACCATTTTTAGAGGATTCACTTTATTGAAATAATTGAACTAATTTTCAGATATGTGCTTACATTTATTTGAAAAAAAAGAATATGCATGGTAGTAATCAAATTTTTTTTAAGAAAATTTGATTACAGTGCATTTCCAAAAATTTAGTATTATAAAACAAATATTTCTTACCTTGAATTACATCATACACACGTACTTAATATATAATAAATTATAATAATGTAATGATAATAAATTTGTTAATGATTTAGAATAATAAAAGTGTGTTTTCTTGTTTTCATTTTTACAATTATATTTTTAATTCTAATATGTTAGTAATTAAAACCCTAAACATTAGGCCTTAAATTAATTTAAAAATGCAAAAAGACATACCAAATATTATAGAATTCTGAGCCGCGTCATCTGAGAAATCAGTAGGCACGTTATATATCTAAACCTAAAAACACGCTTTTTTGAGATGAACAATGAATATTTACTATATCTTATACGTGAGTGATTAGTACTTACTCATTCTCACAACATAACACTATATAAATAATTAAAACACATTCAACAACATTTTTTTTTTTTTTTTTGTATTATAAACAAATTTGCTGTGCATTTTATGCTGAGCGTAAAAAGTTTGTACGAAATCCACGTCACACTAATAAATACTACCACACACGTTCTACAAAAAAATGTACGTGTGACATTTAGTTACAAACTATTTTTGGGAATATACAAATAAATCAAGAAAAAAAAATCCAAAGAATGAAAAACGAGGGGTTAAGGACATTTAAAATATAAAAGGACTTACTGATTTTTCACTGAAACTGCGTTTCAGTTATTATTCAAAATTTTTCCTTTTTCTGTAAACAAAACTGTATGAATAGAAATTGGTTATATTTTAATTAATTTAATTAATGGGGATAATAACTAACTTCTGTAAATAAATTAAGTTCATAGAATAAAAGTTTTAAAATATTTTTCATATAAAATAAAAAAAGAAAATCACTAACTTTTAATCTTAAATAATCCTAAGCTTAATTAGGAAAGAAAGTTTAATTTTTTCTCTTTTTATCAATAAAATTAACAATTTGTTTTTAATTGGAAATTAAAAAAAAAATTAACAACTTACAAAAGTGACGGGGGTGTGTTGTTGTACACGAGTAATACGCCCCCCAACAAACCTGATCATCTGAAGCGAGGGTGCATCATCGGTGCTAACATTTGAGCGCCTGGGAAGCCCATTGGTCCGCCGGGGGCATAAGGATTGACCATCGGTGGGTTAACCATTAAACCTAACAAATATAATCATTGTTTCATCAATACATAAGCTTTAAATATTAGAGTTACAACTATATTTTTCTAATAAATACCTGGATGAATAGGCATTTGCGGCCTTAGCATGCTCATAGCATGAGGTGGTAAACCACCTAAAGAAGGCCGTAAAAGAGTAGGCATTTGCTGAGCCATAAAAACAGTAGGAGGCTGGGGCATCATATTAGGCATTGATATAACTGGTGTAGCAAAACGCTGTTGCTGCTGCTGCTGCTGCTGCTGTTGTTGTTGCATAACTGCTGCCATAGCAGCTACTTGTCGTTCCATCTAAAATAATTAAAATAAATTAATATTCAATATATTTGAAGTTAACACATAAATTAATCAACAATTATCCTAAATGTTATAAATAATATTAATAATAGTAATAATAATAATAATAATATAAATAATATATAAGTATGAAGCAAAATATATATTCACGAGCAGATGCAAATATTAACCAAAAATACCTGAAAATTTACTCACTTTTTATTCACCCAACCTGATAAACCTTTGTATCTTAAAACTTATGTACTTTTTGTTACAATCTAACCACGACTGAAGAAAATTTGCATAACAATATAATAAGTGATAAACTAAAGAAATAAAACAATCCTAAATTCACCTAAATAAAACCTGTCCTAATATTCACATTTTTTGTACTTACAAAGGCAGTCCACTCAATTAAATCTACTTTATGATTTTAAGCAGTTTCAGTTGTCAACAGGACATTTAACGGACCTTGAATGGTTAAGAGGTGGATAACCTCTATTAAGAATTAGAAGCTGGAACCATATGCTTAAATATTCTCTACCTTACCTCATTTTGAATTGCTTGTTGGTGTTGTTGATGTTGGTGATGGTGATGATGCTGCTGCTGCTGTTGTTGCTGCTGCTGCTGCTGATGCTGCTGTTGCTGTTGTTGTTGCTGCTGCTGCTGTTGTTGTTGCTGCTGATGAAGTTGCTGTTGCTGTTGCAATTGCTGCTGCTGTTGATGTTGTTGTTGTTGAAATTGTTGAGTTTGAGGAGACACTTGACCATGAGGCGACATGAGTGGTGCACCAAGCTGATGTTGCTCAGTAATGTTTGATGGTAATGGATTTTGAACATCCATATGAATAGCATACTTAGGAAAACGAGCTTTATGTTCTTCCTAAAATTACAATTTAGATATTTAATATTATAAATATATAATCAATTTATGACATTAAACTTACTAAAGAAATATCTTCCGATGGATGAATTATTTTACTAGATGTTCCAGTAGAACTAATAAGTGATTTAGATTTTGAATCATTATCATTCCTAGGGTTTAAACAGTAAAATAATAATTATGTTAAATAGTCAAAATGTATATTATACTCCCATTTTATGAGAGAGGGAACTCATTTCACAGATCTGACTGATGTCAGTGATAGCTCCAAGGCAAAATTTCTTCCACTTCCTACCATCTGACGGTAATGTCAAATAGGCAATTGGTGGCATCCAACAAAATAACAAGTTCCTTCTCTCATTGAGTATATGGAGTATATAAACCAAGGGAGTTACAAAGTGATTTACTATGTTATGATAGGGTTATGAAATATCTATTACCCTAACAAAAAATAATGAATAGGGATGTTTAATATGTTCTGTGTTCGGAACATTCATGAAAAAAATTAAATTTGTTCACGTTCAGTCATTAAAAAAGGAACTCGTTCACATTTATATTTTTTTTCAAACGCATTTACACTTTCAAAAAATGAACACATTCATTGGGTTATTCATTTAATTTTTTTTATGCAACGTTAAACTGCAGTCAATATAAAAACTCATAAACATACGACTCAACCCAAAAATAAAAATACAGTTTAGACTTTAAAGTATACAATTAATAAAGTAATAAAGTAGACAGCACATCACCGTTTGTGATTCCCTCTATTACCAGTAATTAAATTTATATTCCACAGGGCAGATGATTAACGATTAAGTCCATGCTTATACCCAATACACCGACCACTATAGGTTTACACTTATATCTATTCATTTTTAGTATGATTAGCTGATTAGGTTTATTACAAAGTCATGGAATTATAATATTATTTTTGTTGTATGTCAAGACGAGGCCACTGGAATTTCACGTATTTAATTTTTATAAATTTTAATCAAATAAATATCATAGGAATTATAATGGAAAAATATTATTATTATATATTTTATACACATATTTATTAAATGATAAATAAATTGAATGTCTTCAAAATTGATCAAATTCATTTAAAATAAAAACGTAGTTCACATGCTATTTGAAAAAAAATGAGTGACGTTCACGTATTGTTCAGTATATATGAACATCATGGCGTGAACGTGCTTACATGAACAACGTTTTTCCAAACACTGAATATATTACACCAAACATGTATATTGTATAGTATATTAATATATATTTTACCCCGAGTAAGCAGGAAATGCTGACTTATTTAGGCCACCGACAGGACCACCAGATAGCATTGTGCTATTTGAACGAACATCAGAATTACTAGCCTAAAATATACATAAGTACGATTACATTAAAGGTAAATATATAAAAAAAAAAATGTAACTTACAATTGCTGCAGCACTGGGAAATAATGGTTTATTTGCCATTCCCACTGGTTGACCAGGTGGCATAGGGCCAACAGAAACAGAAGGACCCATCATTGGCATTCTGATTAATATAATAAAGTAGTTTATAAAATATAAATACATGTATTGTGGGCAGTGGTGTAGTCATAAAACTGTTTGAGTTATACCCATAAATTATACTTTATCTTCTCAATTAACAATTTGTAAACAATGTACTTTTTTTTCTTTTTATTAGCCTTTATATGTACTATTTTTATTATTGTTAAAACCAATTGTATTGATTGAGATATTTTTAAAAAGTATTTATGCATAGGTTTTATATTTAATCCAAATACAATTTAAATTGGTAATATTGGCTGGATCAGAACACTTAACTAATAAATTGAATACTACTAGTATTCCAAACATCAGGAAAAATACCAGAAGAGTGATAAATTAAACAGGCAAAATAAAAACAAAGAAATAACAAATTTACATTTACTTAAAAATAAGTTTGGTATAACTTCAGGACCAGATAGGATTAGATTTGGAATTAAGTGACTCAAATATTGCAATTGAACCAATTGAACAAGAATTCAAGAAAAAAGAACATTATAATATCATAGGTGAACTATGATGTTTATAATATATATTGACATTATAGGTACTAATTGTCTAATTTCCACTAACATTAGAGAATTATTTATTAAAAGCATTAATGTTATCGCTAGAGTATTAAAGTGATCATTGTTTAAATGCATACTATTAGGAAATTATTTTTGCATTTGTTGTTAATAAATTGCATAGTGGCGTAACAAATATATATATTTTTGGGGCAATTGTTCTAAACAATTTTTGATGAGTGAGAATTATTTTATTGAGGTTTAAATTTTTTTATACATAACTCTCATTAATTAATAGGTATTACATTGTTATTAATTCAGTATGATAAACTAGAATTATATTTTATTTATTTATTATATTTAGTATATTTTACTTACTACTATTATTAATATTACTGATCAGGAGTTGGCTAATAGGTAACAAGACACATTCTGAATAATTGTATGTAATAGGGCTAAAAAAGAACTAGGGAGATTATTATACTGTACATGTAGGGTATTTAGTTTTGGAAGTTATAGGTTAAATTATAAAAATACAAATTTAGATGTTAGGTATTATTAAGTATCGAGTGAAATCCCAGGTACAAACTACAAATCACGTAGAACTTTAAACAATTTTAGATAATAAATAAATAAATGTAAATAATAACATAAATAGAAATTTGAACTTACTTTCAATCAGTCAATTTTTAAGATAAAAAAAAACTATATGTCAGTTGTTTAAACAAAAAAACATTTTAAATTTTAATTAACGAACAGCCGGAACTTGTTAATCAAAAATTTTAATTTTGCTGCTCATGTACTAAAAACAAGATTGAAAATTTTGAGCTTTCCAAAAATGAAGAGCGCTATTAAGTCTTTTACATTGAGAATGCTGTTTTTACTTTTATTTTTATTACTAAGTATAACGAAACTTTGGACGTTAAGTTTTATAATTTACAAATTACACTATAGAATTCATTTAAAAATTATTAATTATGTTTTGAAGGGTAAAACAATTATATACCCACCAACAACTGTATTAGGTTTATTTTATTTCCCAGACATGTTTTAGAATTTCAGCATTATCTGTATACCACCATATATTTTTGACTACACCACTAATATTTATTATTTAATTACCCTGGTCCCATATAAGGAGGGCCCATAGCTTGCATATGATTCATCATAGGATTATAAGGTGGCATCATGGAAGGACCAGCTGGATTTGAATACTCGGGTTTCTTCTTTACAGGTGGCCCAGCGTCATCATCACTATCCGAACGAGTACCTATAGTAATAATAATAATAATAAATTTGAATAATATATTTTTGTTTATTCAATTTATAAGAAAATAGGTAGTTATTGTGTTTTCATATTATATTATATTACCTTTGCTACCAGACTTTTGTCGCTCATGTTCCTTCATATCTTCCTCTGGAATTCCTTCCATTCCATAAATTTCTATTTCAATATTAGAGCGATGTGAAAGCGCATTGGGCACTTTGTCTATTGTTTCTTTGTGTACCTGTAACAAAATTTTAATTTATAAAATAATTTCTTGTTATATTATGAATATGTTAGAAAGTTAGAAAATAAAAATAAATAAATATTTAATGATTTTTTTAATAAAAATTGAAGGATTGAGAATTTTAGAAATATATATATTTAAATCACAATATAAAATTAAATTATTTTAGGAAATAAGTTATAAAGTAAATTTCATATACCCTAGGTGTAATAGTAATTCATTAATAATTTACTAACCTGCATACAATGAATCGATAAACCAGGACCAGTGTACAGTTTTTTATGACATATATGGCATTTAAAATGTTTTGCTTTTTGATGTTGAATTAAAATTTTTTCATCATCAAATTCACGATTACAATACCTTAATACTTAGTTAAGGATTAAATATACTCAATTGTTAGGAATTCAGGGTTATATTAGCGATATTTGAATGAAAAATATATAAAAAACAATATGTTATTTAACTAGGTGTCTTAACAAAAACATGAAAATTATTCAATCAAATTATGCTCTATTGTTATTGTTTCTTTTAAGGTATATTTTTCAGTGTAAAAATATTAATGACAAATTAAATTTTTTTAATTATTTATAAGAAAACAGTGATATTTATATACTAATATAATATATTTTTATTCATTTTGAACATAATTTATAATTGTTTATATAACTTAAAACCATTATCTACAAAATATATTCAATCTTTTAGAAAAAGAAATATAATTTTAAAATTAGAATTAATTGAATAAATTCACATTGACTAACAGCTCTCAAAACTATTTTACAGTAATGAACTAATTTAGGTCAGTATCACAATAGCAGAACATATCAAACCGACCTGTGGATTCCGCAGATATCAAAATACGTTGTTTTAAATACATGTACATATTATACTAGTGCATAAATTTGGTGTGAACAAAAATATTTAGCAGCATGTTTTAACATAGCAGTAATTCCACACCGGCTCTAAGAACAAAAATGTTTTAATACTTTATGTCTGTATTTTAACTTTAACATTTTCTATAATTTTTCTTAAAAAATATAAAACTAAATTGTAAACATTATTTCTAGGCGATATAATATTAACAGTTTGATGAATGAATTTCTTGGTACTATACAGCACCAATAGGATGATTATAAAAATATGAATAATAAATCTATAATTTTTGTAAAGTAATGACTTATATTTACATCGCATTATGTAATATTAGGAAAAATACAAAATATTTATAACAGATAGGTAGCAGCAAGTATTTCATCATAATATTAAGTTCAAAATCTGTGAACATCAATATACAATCAGCAAAATTGTATAAATATCACAACTCAAGATATGTAATTATACAACAATACTACTCAATGGGTTAACTAATATTTTTAATAATTGGTCACAAAATTGAATAATAGGTAGCTAACCTAACCTACTCATAAATAAATCAATAGTTGCTTAAGGATAAATAATAATATAAAATGGGGAAATACAACTCTCAAGAAGGTAAGTCGAAACTTACATTAACAACTATAAAATAGATAGGTACCTATTCCAAAAATATAACATAAAATTTGTCAAAATAACAATTATTTAATTGTAAATTTTGATTAGATCTTGAAGCCTTGTACTTAATTTTATTTAGTGAAGTGGTGCACTACACATGCATTTCATTATTGGCTAAGGTGGTGTTGCATTGGCAAAAACATTTTTGGCAATAACCTGAGGTATCAAATCTACTTTTATATATTCATTAGAGCTTTGTAGTACGAGTCATTTCAAACACTACACAATGTATACAGAGAGAAACCATAGAAATGTGTGAATTACAAAGAGGGTTAAATCAATAATAAACAGAAGACCTAATCAAAGTAAATATACAAATGTATATAAAGACAACACATTTTATTTACCTATCTAGTGTCTACATTACAACAGAAAATAGGGTTTTTGCTGTTTTTGATTATGAGTACCCAGAAAGATAAATAATTAACTCGATAGAATAAAAGTGGACACTTCTACAATAATAGCATTAAAAAGGATACCAGCACCATGGCTTAGACTGCTTCTTCTTTTTGCGACCCATATTCTAGTTGTTGTGTCTGGACAACAGCTGCTCGGAGGCACGGGAAGCGTACTACGAAAATCGTACGCTATTTCAACACGTAACCGTCATCGCGCGGGAATTGTTATAACAGCGATAGAACGACTGGAAATCAAACGTCGTCATCGTTATTATTAATATTGTAAAAATATTTAATATGTGTATTTATACGAACTTGCTCCACTTCAATAGTCCAATCACCCGTATATTGGTTAACAGACGGAACGGCGTAGGGAACGCGACGAAAAAGATAATAATGGCACACCAGTACACTACTCTACACTGTCTGAGGGCCGTTTGTTTTGCCGATTTACGTTTTACGATTCTATTTTATCATGACGAACGGAACAGGGCAGTCGTAGTGACTAGTGTGCTCGTTTTTCGTGCAGTACTTGTAGTAGTACTGTAATAGTAGTAGTAGTAAATAGTAGTGGTAGTAGTAGTGGTAGCAGTAGTAGACGGGATAGCGTCGATATTACGACACGAAAAAAAATCGAAGTCAAAACTTTGCCGCATGCACCCACACGAACACCGCACGAGTCATGGAAGAGAGAAACGATCGTTTGATCAGATGGGTCCTAGGACTCCTCCTTCCATGGCGTCGTCGTGAGGTTTGCGCTTATGCGGTTCGCCAGTACCTAGCACCCGCTACAGTAAAGTTGTGTTCGTTCGTGGTTGTCGGCACGGATTCAGAACATGTGTTTTCAAAAACACACGAACCGACGGTGATTACTACCACGGCGACAGCCAACCATGGAAGAAACTGTACAACTCGCTCTCCGCGGCCGCGCCGCAATGTACCGAGAACAAGAGAGATAGGAAGGACGGACGGTGACGCGGGGCTCGGGCCACAAGGTCAATCAGTGCGTCCACCTGAAGTTGGTAGGTCCTGAACATCAACACACGGACCGACATTCGACATTCGAGTATTCGACAGCCGCGGATCGCGGATGAGCGGACAGATTATAGACCTTAGATTACATAGTATGGCACTACAATACTATAATATAATATGATGTAATCTGTGGGTTAATAGTACCGAATTAATTATAGTTGCAACTGTTGCAAGCGTCAAGTGAAATGGCTCGTCGGCTCGTTGCCCATTTACTGCATTGCTGCGGTCTGTAACACTGTCATCCATCGTCCGTTGCGCAGTACTAAAGTTGTGCGCGCGTGCGCCCATTGGCCGTCGGACGATCAACGCCGACACTAGTCGCGTCTTCCGAAGATCTTCGCGCTGCGCATACGCACTGCTTGTCAGGCGGGTGCAAAGTACGCGTTCTCATTTTCTTCCGTAAGCGTCCGCTGCCCGGCACGCGTTTTTTGGCCTGTCCGCCATCGTTGTTGGCTTTATTTTTCTTGCCGGCCCTTCCTCGTCGTCAGAACAGCCACTGCCACTGCAGCCGCTTCGAATTCCAACGTCAAGTCCGTTGACGTCGAATCGTCCAACTGAGCAGAACCCGTGCGAAGTAATTCGCACTCTTTTTCCGGTGAGTGATAAAAAACAGATAATCGGTAGGTACCATCGTTAACCCCGAGTACTCTCGTTTTTGTGGTGGTCGTATCGATGGTCGCTGCCCTGACATCTCCGTGTGTGAAATTTTTTTCGCATTCGCGCCATTCCGTCTGGTCGGTTTTTTGTTACACTTAAGCGGCCCGTCCACGATCAATATTTTTGAAGCACCTTCAATACAACCAATATACGATCAATTATATTGTCAACATTGAATATTGATCGTGTAGGCGCCACTTAACAAAAAAATTATTGTTACTATCTTGCGGTCTATCACATACATGGTGTTTGAAGGGGGAGTAGAAGGGACATTATGTTAATTCGTGGCCACAAATAATTAAATTGTTATCGTTTTTTTCGCCCAACAGTGGCCATATATTTCACCAAATTTTTGTGAGTAAGTAGCTGTGTATCTGTGTACTCTTTGTTTTTGACTAATAATAATTTATAATTTCTTCATGTCTTGACACCTGTTGTTGGATAACTAGTTTTTATAAGAACATACATAAAAGTATCTGTTTTTATCTCATTGGTCCAGATTTGCCATCTTTCAAGTGCTCAAAATAATACAATTTGTGTTTAAAATAATTGAGATAAAACTATTTTGTATCTATTAATGTACATTTATAGTAACAATGCCCTCAAAATCTAAACCTAAACAACATTTAAAATTTAAATATTATTGATATCATTATATTTTGTTATTGGTGCTCCATAATATAGTTTAACTTCAGCCTATGATTAATGATTTTGAAGTTATACTTTACCTTAACTTAAAGAGAATATTCAAAGTTATTAACGTTATCTAAATTTTATATAGGTATGTTCATAAAATAATTATTTTGTTTTGTCTTAATTATGTTTGATGTTGTTACCTATAAATAAGTTGCTATGAAAAATGAATTTATTTATTTACTATGGATGTGTCATATGATTGCATTAAAATTGTATATTTTAGGTAAAATTTTCTGCAAAATAATGTACACTTAAAAATGGTTTTTTGTCTTTGTTTTAGTTAACTAATTCCAACAATTTGATTGATAATGCCGAGAACTAGCCGTAAAAGGAATAATCGTCGTAATGAAAGTACAGTTAGGGTTACTTCCAATTTATCAGCAAATGCTCCAGAATTTATTCCTATAGGTAATTAATAACATATATAATGTTTTATTACTATTTTGAGTTATAATTTAAAACATTGTACCTAAGGTAACCGTAAAATAAATATTTACCTAATTGTACAATATTTATAAATTATATTAACCTACCTGTACCTATTGTTTTTCAAATAAACTTTAAAAATTATTTTTGAATACATATGTTTTGTATGTCTCATATATAATTTTAAGACTTAAAATAAATACCTAATTACCTACTTGATTTTCATTTTAAACTTGTGAGCCCCAGCATATACTTTTAAAATTTATTGAACTCAATCTTATTGTCATTGTCTTAAATAAATAAATAGTTATGTGAATTTTTAATTTTGTTTTATTTATATTATTTAAAATAATATTAATTTGTTTATATTTATTGTATAGCGAATGATGAGGCTACTGCTAATCAAAGAGAAGGTTTAGTAATTCAGTCAATGACATTTTGTGGAAGTTCCAGTGCATCGAATAGTAGCGGGTAGGTTTCATTTGTATAAAACTATTAATTTTACTTACATTTTGACTTAATTTATTATTTTCATGTTATAGGAGTAATAGTAACTCAAACTATGCAGCTACTACTATAATTTCTTCTATACCAGATGCATTAAAAAATAAGGGCCAACGAGATTTGCTTATTAATCTTTTGAACGAAAATAAAGTAGATTGTGTTATATGTTATGAACGGGTTAAAAATATTGAACAAACTTGGAACTGTCGTAATTGTTACCAAATTATGCATTTAAAGTGCATAACAGTTTGGTTCATTAAATCTCATGGCAGTAAGTTATATTAAGTGTTTTTATGGATTAAATTGTTAGAAGCTTGAATGTATTGAACTTAACTATGTATAGGCTTATGCAACCTGTAAAATTCTTGGTCTGTAGTTGTTTTGAAATTTTGGGCCTAAATATTATTTGTATTTACAATGGCTATACAATTATTACTGTCATTATAAAGAAATAACTGGTTTCAAAACTTGCCCCTAGTATAATTTTGCCTCAAATACAACCAAACACAAAACAAATAGACTAAAAACAGTCACATTAGCATAAATATGTAATATATTTACTTACATAATTTGTAATTGATAAACTTTGTGTTTTACTACAAATGTAGCCCAATTTTTAAAAATAATGAATGGCTTCCTACCTAAAAAGGTTAAAGAAGGCCTTCCGGAACTGGTGGATTTCATTTAGAATTTATATCTTTATTTCAAAATTACCATATTTATAAAAGTAAATTAAATTACATCGATAATCACAAATTTATTTTAATTCAACTTAATATTTACTTCTAGCATATTATTAATGTACATATTAATATCAAATTATTACCATACTTCTGTTTTAATTTTATTGATTCAAGTAAAATAATAATAATTTTCATAGATGCCATTTGGAGATGTCCGGCGTGTCAAAGCGAGGTGACCGGAAAACCAAAATATGTATGTTATTGCGGCACATTACCCAATCCATATTTTAATAATGTGGACATTCCACATTCTTGTGGTCAAGTTTGTGGATTGCCAAGAAAAAATTATAATTTAAACTATGATGATTGTCATCATAAGTGTACACTGCTTTGTCATCCTGGTCCTTGTCCACAATGTGTTGTGCAAGTTATAAGGTTGTTATTTAATTAAATTCAATTTCCACTCTATTTTAATTATAATAAAATTAATTGAATTCAGATCATGTGGATGTGGAAAAAAACAAGAGTATGCTCTATGTGGTCAGGCAACCCAGATTGTATGCAACAGTATTTGTCTTAAAAAATTAAACTGCCAAATCCATGAATGTCAAAAAGTATGTCATGCTAAAGGCTGTGGACCATGTGATAAGGGTTGTCCTCAATGTAAGTATTGCTTTTTTATTAACAAAATCTAAGGTTTATTTTAGATAAAAATGAAAGTTTGGTGATAATTATTTTATTATTATTATAATACACAGAAATAAACTAGTGGTAAATATTATTAATTGTTTTAATGTCTAACAATTTTTTGGGAGAGTATTTGGTTTGGTGGAAATAACAACATGGATATACCCTTATACCAAACTTGTTTTTAAATACATTGAAATTATTTTAAGTAGATTCAATTACTTATTGACTAAACTAAGCAAATGGTTTTCCCTCTTACCACAGTGTTGATATGGATTTTAATCCATTTTAGTAAAATCGTATTTATATAAATTCCTCCGAACAAAATTCCTGGTTAATGTATTCATTTAGGCACAAAATTTGGTATTTTGGAAAATTATTTTTTAGACACTTAACCAGGAATATCTATTTTAGCTAGTAAACTGTAAGATACTCTATTCTACAAGTAAACTACGCATCACTCTGCCATCAAAGTCGGTTCCCCTATGAAAAGACAGCAATGGAATGTGCAGAAAAAAGACTTCTCGTCCAATATGCTATCTACCGTAATTTTATGATAGTTTAGTATGATATCTATCATATGTCCTTATGCTGTATATTAAATATACTTTATAATTTTGCAATTAACATAAGGTTTTTTATCGAAAGCCCAAATTATATTATATTATACCTTGTAGGTTTGTAGGTATACCTTTATATTATACCTGTTTAGTGTGTGTTTGTGAGTCGTGTCGATTATATGTGGTTTTACTGTGATTTATTTATTATTATTTATCAATTATTATTATAAGTTTGTCAACTATGAGTTATTTATTATTCAAAATGAAGAGATGTGCGAAAAATTTTTAAAAACATGCGGTTCATTACCAATCGATCAAACATGTACAAAAAATTAAAAACTAAACAGTTTGTGGTGCCGAGTTGAAAAATAGTTAAAATGTGATTCGGAAGCTAATATTTAAAAACAATTTATAGTCAATGTTAAAAAAAAAGGGTGCCAAACATTTTACTCCATACGCAAAAACAATAACTTTTTTATGTATGTAGATAAAAATGGGAAGTGCACAGTGGTCTAAATTTGTGTGATAACGTAGAACTTGTTTGGTATTGGGTATTCCAAATAAAGGTAACACAAGCCGGGGTGTTTGCAAAAATATCGAAATCAACCATAGTCGACGGTAAATAGCATATTGGACGAGTACGGAAAAATGATTTTGGTCGGGCTGCAACATGTCCTCTAGTGGAACAGAGTATAATACTGTTTATTTTAATTTTACACATGTTTAAATTGATAAAAGTTTGGTTATGTTTTAACTAATAAGACAACACCATAAATTGTCATAAGCTTGTTTTAGTTTATTTGTCTCTGATAAGTTACTATTTAAGTTTTCATTGATATGCCTATTTTACGATCTATAATTAGAAAAAAAAATTTAATGGTTTTAATTATAATTACAATTTGGTAGAAGATTTGTGTTCTCTAAATTTCTTACTTATAATTTTATTATCAAAAATATAATTTGTTATTATTTTATTAAATATCTTTAAGCCTAGTTCATCTTATTCTTTTTTCATTTAATTTAACTTTTGAACATCTAAATTTGCTGAAAGTCAACATGCGTTACCATGTTTATGGTAAGTAATGATAGAAATTAATGTACATTTTAAATTAACATTTTAGGCGTTTTTTACTTAGTTCCACTAATATTTTTTTATATTTTCAATAAATCATACTTTTCAAATTTGTTGAAGAATATAGAGTTATAGCAGATACCAATAAAGAGATAGGCACAGCATTCTCCTAGAGGGACAAAGCTACTGAATAATTCTTAATTTAGAAAACAAAGGTATAATTCTCTTTTAATTTTTAATTGTGTTAACATAAATTAAATTCAATGTTAAAGTATCAACGACCACGTTTGTAAACATATTGGTAAGAATAACATATGTTTAAACTTCAGTTTGAGAGATTGTGTTGTCTCCTTACAAATGGACTCTCAACAAAAAATATTAAACTCAAAGTTAGATGTAAATCTGTTCTCTCTTTGGTTTTTACAAAAAATGAATATTTTATTTAATGTAAATTATGATTATAACAAAAAGTTGAATATTTTACATAGTCATAACTTGCTTTAAAATGTAAATGCAACGGGAACACTAAGAATGCTTTTAACTTGAGTTTGATATAATCACTCAAATATTTAAGATAATATCATCAAATTGGAACTTTTGAATGTATATACTCCATTTTGTTATGCATAAGTAAAACTTATCTTAATAAAATTCTTTCTTTAAATTTTAAACTATTACTTAATTTTCGTCATTAAAAAAAATCAATATATTCAAAGTTAACTATTATTTTTTAATTCCAACCAAATAATAACTGTTTTAGATTCAGAAAAAAAGTTGAATATGTTTTTTCTTACTTCTGATCAATATTTTTAACTATAACTTTTTTATATCTAAGTATAATTTTCAATTCTTAAATGAGCAATTTTCAGTGGTACTGTCAAAAAACATATGATCAAATATGATATAATTAGATACATTATGTCTTGATTAAACATTCTTTATCATTATATCTAATTGTTATTACATAATGTTTGTAGTACTAGAGTGTGTTTTCTCTGCACGACATCAAATCTACATGCCAGATTCTTACTACTGTTTGTTCAAAGTTAATGTTAGAACAACTTAACTTATTAAATTTTTAGAGAATATGAATTGTGTTCAAGCAAAGAGTTTTGTTTATCATATTTATTAATCCTTAATGAGTTATAAGTACTTAATAAATCATGTCTTAAATTCATATAATTTTTTTTTAATATTGCAATTTATGAACATTTTGCTCAGTTTTGTTTATTATATACTCTTTTACAAATTCAATATTAAGTAAATTTTCTATAATATTAATCCTTAATTTTACATTATTATTACATTCTATAAACGTTAAGTTTTTGTAAATTATTCAGAATATTTTTAAAATAAACCTAGTAGCACGAATCTTAAAAAGATGATTTATATATCATAAAATTTTGTTCAACATTTAAAAAAAAAATACGTAAAGAACGCCTAAATATTTTGGTTTTCTTTAATATATAATAATTTACCATTATTTGTTTTTAGATAGAACTAGAACTCCGGCGGCAGCACTAGCTTTACTTCAATCAAGTGCATCATTTGCTGAAGCAATTATAGAATATAATCGATTACCACCTGACTCAGAAGTAACAGAGGAAGAATTACGAGCACTAGGCCTGACTCCAGAAGAATTATATGAGCCAAGGAGTAGTGTTTATGATTCATATTATTCTACTTCTAGTAATAATCATGATGTTCCTACAGCTTTTCCTGTTAATAATGATGAATTTGTTATGACTTTATCAGATGAAAGTGATGTTGATGATGATGATTTTGATGTTGAAGTCAATGTTGATGATATAGATGAGATTATGCAAGATATTGATTTTGGATACCGCAATAACTCAAATTTTCCTGTAGTCTTAGCAAACCCACTCTCTGGCTACTCTGGTTCTCACGAGTTTGAAATTGAGTATCCAGTGACTGATGATGATGATGATGATAATGATGATGATGAAGAAGAAGAAGATGATGTAGATGCAGATGCAGATGCAGATGCAGATGCAGATGATACTGGAGAAGAAGAAAATGATGAAAATAATGAAAATAATGAAGGTTGTGTTTTAAATAATTATGACTCTCGTGATAATGGTACTACTAATGATAGTTGGGATTGGGCAGATAGTTCTAGTGAAGAAGAAAGAGAAATTGTTAACACTTCTTCACCAATGGATAGTGAGGGAAGTGGTGATAATTCATGGGATATGAGTGATGATTCTAGTGGCGAAGAAGGAGTTATTGCTGGTACTAATTCTAGTTATTCTGAAGATTCTACTACTGATAGTTCACAAAGTAGTATCAGCTATATAAATGATTCAAATTCTTCTGCCAGTAACCACAGTTCCGGTTCTGATTCCGGTTCTAGTTCCAGTTCTAGTTCCTCCTTTTAAGAAAACAAATGTAATTAAATTCCTTTTTATAATTTTAAAATACAATTTAACTTTTAAAATAATATGTAAACAAAACATGCATTGTATTCAAAGTGCCAATTTATATTTCATTATACTTGTTTTTATTATAAATGAATTATTTATTATGATGTATTAGTATAATAAATATATGTTAAAATAATTAAAAATATAAATATCTGAAAATTTAACAGTAACTTTAATATTTATTTATAATGATCATTACATTTTGTTGATTTACAAACTGTTATATATGCTTACTAAGTAAGTAATGGTATTCTTAATTATGATATGAATAATGGAAAAAAAAATATTATTTTATTGGAATAAAATTGATAATATTGACATAAAAGTTTGTTTTTAGTATTCGTAGTTTCTAGTGATAATTAAAGCAGAATAAATCACTACAAATATCATATGATTGATATTTTTTATTATTATTGTTTTACATTTAATATAACCTTTATTTTAGATTCTGAGCGGTACGATAAATGTAAAAATTTTACAATGATATGTTTTTTATCAGTCTGTCGCCTTTTGGGGGCAGTAAAAACTAAAAATGATTTGATTTTCTACGGCAGCATCTTTTCTGATAGAAAAATTCTGCCATTTGATCTGGTTGGTACTTTAAAGAGTCAAAAGTAAAATATTCTGAGCAGTTTATAAAAACAAAGGGAAAAACTAAAATAAATGAGGTAAAATGACACAAGCCCAGTTTTTGACTAAATTAATTTTGTTTTTTGGTGAAATTCAAAAATTAATAACTGAAAATACTTCAAAGTTTTTCCAAAGGCGTATTAAATATTTTCTATGAACAATAAAATTTTCAAAATATTTTACATAGCTATTGCAAGAAGAAATTTTCAACTATGATATGATAATTTTCTACTTGGTCAAAAAACTTGAAAATTTATTACAAACTCCTCCCAAATTTTTCTACTTACAATCAATAAAAGTTTACCATAAAGTCACCTTACTTTTTATGAGCTTTTAAAATTAAAATAATTATGACATTGAATATACACCTGCAAGTTAATATATTTTTTTTTAATCAAACAAAAGAATGAGTTAATGGGTGATGCTCTGCTAAATAGTAGGTTACAAGTGTGGGTCATTGTGATGGATGGTGTTAAATTTGAATTCAATGATATAATATTATGTACAAAAAACGATTCTGATTTTATTTATATTATTACTACTGTAGCTGACAGGTTGAATCAATATTATTTGCATATTTGTATATTGTATATAATAATAAATTTTGTTTTTTTTTTTTATATAATAAGAAGACATTCCTAATCTTAATAGGCTATCAACATCTACAGATATTTACAGAATTGGTATATTTTGACGCTGAACTTGATAATAATTAATAATATAACAATAGTTATGATACTTAAGGTTGTTTTTTTTACATAAATAGCATTATTATGGATTAAATATAAAAACTAGGTGTATTGTGCCTCTGACTTTTTTTACATCTATTATTGACTGATGTTTTCGTAGTACACGGTTTTAAATATATCCAACCATAATAATGTATTGAAATTAACCCTTAAATTAACGCCTGTCGATTTATCCTATCTTAATCTCCATTTAAGATTTTTAACACTAATTTTGATGGTTTTGACCATATATAAAAAAAAGGTCTAAAACTATTCAATCTTAATACAAATTATATTTTCATTAACTAAGAGCAACCCTATAATAAACAAATTTATATTATTCGTATGTGAGCTAGATATCAAATCGTTGTGTTCTTATTATTTTCATAAGGATCTATACATTTTTTTTGAATAAAATACAGAATTAATTTAAAAGATTTTTTAGCTTTGTGTAACTTGTTTAATAAGAATTTTTTAAATCGGTTAAGCAGTTTTTGAGTTTATTCATTCTTCTTTTTCTCAGCTTACTGGTCCATTAAGTAATTATTACTTAATAATTTAATAAATGCAATATTATGTTTTGGGTACCTATCAAAATAGAAAATGGAAATTTAGTTTACTATAGTATATTTATGTACTGTTATTCCCAGTAAAATTCTGTAACATAAAATAGTAATCGTTAAAATTATTTGAAATATGCAAACTGAAACTGTGTTTCTAATTTCACCATTTCACAGAAGTTCTGAACCCTTTTCTAGTCTTCTACCACGCGGCAGATGCTAGCAATTTTTTTTTCTATTTGTGGTAATAGTTGATCCATTAATACACATAATTATTTTGGAACAAACTTGGAAATTTAATATTAAATTAATAAGTTATTCTGTGGGAAAGGTTTTTAGGTACTCCAAAGTTTTATAATTTATATCATCAGTCTGTTTACATTGATAAATTGATACAGATAGGACTTAAAAGAAATAATAATTTGTTAGATTATTCAGAAAATTAGAGAAATATATGAATAATATGTGTCTATTTGGAGATAATGATGATAAACAAGCTTAACAATTTCTCACAATACCTATAACTACAGTTAACGGGTTTTTTTTCCAGTGTGTTTCTGTGGCAAATCTAAACGACAAGTACCATGCACTCCTGAGAATGCCATGGTTTTATATTACAGCTGTGGAAATCTGTGTGAAAAAAAATTGTCTTGTGAAAATCACTTATGCCAGAAGGTGTGTCATGTTGGTCAATGTGACCCATGTACAGCTTTATCTGTTAATAGATGTCCTTGTGGAAAACGGCCATTGACAGAAGACGAACTTAGTAACCGTACATTATGCATACAGCCAGTACCCACATGTGACCAACCATGTGGAAAACCTCTAGAATGTGGTCCACCAGGTATGTGCATTATATGGACACACATTGCAATTTTATTAACTAATATATTGAATTTATTTTGTATAGAAAATCCGCATCTGTGTGAACAAAATTGTCATGAAGGCCCATGTGTTCGCTGTGAGCTTAAAACAAAATATGTATGTAAATGCGGTAGTAGATCTAAGGAAATAAAATGTAATTCTGCTACCAGTGAATTGACTTGCAAAAAGAAATGTAACAAGGTAAAATCATTTAAATGTAATCCTGACGTATTCTTTAAACAATAAACACTCATCATCATTCATGACTATCAGTTTTTATCTTTATCTTTTATTTTGTTATTTTATTCAATTTTTAGTTCTTTTAATTTCTTCTACAGTTAAAAAAAATGTTCTTAAGTCTTACAACTTTTGCATATGATTTTATATCTTTGTCTTTAGTATTTACATATGTTATATAATATTTACATATATATATTTACTTACAAATGTATTAATTATATTTCAGATATAAATAACATAGGCATGCACATGGTTCTTTTTTTCAGGAGATAACTCTTCCTCTACTTACTATGCATATTATATAGCCATACCGGATAATTATTGACTTAAGTTAAAAATTTTTTTTGTTTAAAATGCACATAATTAATAGGTTTATGTTTAATGTTTGTTGCAATACATTTTACCTGTAATTCAAAATTATAATAATATTTTAAATAAATCAAAAATTTTAAAGTATGAACCCCGTGTGCATGTGTATGCTAAATAATAATCTTTTATTGACCGTTGTATATGAACTAATATTTTTTGGTTCTTAGATGATGTCTTGCGGTAAGCATAGATGTATGGTATTATGTTGTAATGCACAAGAGCATATATGTACCAGAACTTGTAATGGACTATTAAACTGCCGTCAACATCGTTGTGAACGCGTTTGTCATTCTGGAAGCTGTTCAATGTGCTATGAAGCAAGTAGGTGTAAAATGTAAATATAATATAATCTATAATCATTATTGTGTTTATGTAACTGATGTAAGTATGAAACAACTTTCAATGCCTAAAAGAATTGTAGTTTGCAATCCAACTATTTTATATGGTATTATTATAAACTAATTTATTTATTTATTTATATAATAGTATAATATATTTACTATCAGTTAATATTGTTAGAAAAAAAAATATTTTTTACATTTATTCATGCAGTTTCAATTTTTTATAAAGTTACATGTGTTGAGGTATAAATTTGTATTCATTATTAATGTGCTTGAATACCTACAATATAAAAATATAAAGACATCTAGTCCTTGTATTTAAAAAAAACCATTTATTTCAATCTAAAATCAAACATCATACAATTTATATGGTTTATCTACCTCCTGTAGTCCTGTAAGCAAAGCTTGAGTTGGAGGTAGAGAGTTATTTTGGTGAATGTAATTATATTACTGATAAATAATTTTACTTACAATTAAATATATAATAATAATAATAAACAGATGTAGCAACAAGAACCGAGGTAAAAAGAAAATATAAGAACAGCATTATTTGTAATTATGAATACATGGAACATCGATAGGTACTATACATAATATACTATACTATGTAAAATTTACAAATAATTTAAAGATCACATAATAATGACTGATATATATTTATTTATATTAATTTTAGAATTAGTTCTTAAGAATTTTTTTATATTTAAATTTAAAGAGTTGAATATTTTTGGTCTATATATTTTTTTTGTATAATAAATTTTTGTAATAAGTAATATAAAAGTATAATTACTAATTTTTATATTTCTAAAATGTACGCACTAGAATGTCAATTTATCCAACCACCCACCCAGCACCCACCACCATAATTAATTACTGGGGAGAACCGTCACATAAAAGTACATATTCAAGTACACGTTTTCAAACTTTTAAAAATATTTTTTTGTAGGTTGTTGTGGTAGATAACATTATTTCAGCACTTCTTTTCAAAAAATTGTTATATCAAGTTCCTAAATCCATGCAATTTCACCACTAGTTTTCAGGATAATTTCTCTTTCTATAAAATCAATTGTATGGTTGCTCTCTTTACACTAAACATTATGACATGTAACATAGTATTAAGTGAATATATATTATTTTGTCGTTTACTTCAAAAATAAAATATAAATTATTTATATAAAATACCAAGGTAGATTTATAAGTTGGATTTCATCCAATAATAATATTACCTTTGTATTTTTCTATACATATATCTAAATTTACTCTATTTTATTATATAATTTTCTTAATTGATATTGATTCATTCTAAAAGGTTTTGAAGAGTTGTATTGTCGATGTGGCAATAGCTTTATTTCTCCTCCTATCAGGTGTGGTACACGTCCACCATTATGCACATTACCTTGTTCACGAGAACATGAATGTGGTCATCCAGCTACTCATATATGTCATAATGAAGATGAATGTCCTCCATGTATAGCTCTGACTGAAAAATTGTGTTTTGGTGGCCACGAGGTATTAATTACAATATATTAGTCTACAATGTATACCACTGTTCATTTTTCTTTTAACTGTTTAGTTGCGTTTTGCTATACCATGTCATATAAAAAATGTATCATGCGGAATGCCTTGTGGCATTCCACTTCCTTGCAAAAGACACACTTGTACCAAACCATGTCATGCACCGCCATGTAATACCGGTCCATGTCAGTTACCATGCAATTTACCAAAATTGGATTGCAGCCATCCATGCTCCAAACCTTGTCATAATGGTTCATGTCCACCAGTAGCATGCAAAATAATGGTAAAACACTTTTTAATGTTATAATAATATAAGCATTATTTATAATGATTCTTTCAAGGTGAGTGTTAGCTGTGTTTGTGGGAATTTGACAGAAGCTAGGATGTGTTCTGACCCTAAGGTGATTGAATATCGTCTTCAAGTTAAAGCACAGTCAATGAGCTTCTTAGACAATATTGTTGACTCGTCGCCAATCATAAAATCGTATAAAATGTAATTTATTTGTATAATATTTATAGTATAGGATGAATGATTTACGTTTATAATTTTTTAGCCTGGAATGTACAACAGAATGCGCTAAATTAGAACGAAATCGTCGGATTGCTCTTGCACTTCAAATCCGCAATCCAGATTTATCTCCTAACGTCACTCCAAGATATTCAGATTTCATGAAAGAATTTGCAAAAAAAGATGCATCATTCTGTAGTTATGTTCATGAAAAACTTGCTGAATTGGTCACTAATGCGAAACAAGTAAGTATAATAATTGACTTGTATACAATTTGAGCTAATTAGTAAATTTTAATGTTATTAGTCTAAACAAAATTCTCGAAGCCATTCATTTGAAGTAATGAAGTATGAAAAGCGGAAATTGATTCACGAGTACAGTGAACATTTTGGGTGTGAATCAGTAGCTTATGACGCTGAACCAAATAGAAATGTTGTCGCTACAGCTCTTAAAGAAAAAGTAATTTTCATTTTTTTGTATAGTTGTTGGTCATCTAAGAAACTAACAAAATTATTTTTTTCACCTTAAATAATAAATTGCACTGATTTTTTAGTCGTGGCTTCCCAATTATAGTGTGGTAGAAGTTGTTCTACGTGAAAGCGGATGTCCACGAGTCAACCCATTTGCAAGTATTCAAAAAAGAAATACTATTATTCTGAACAAAAAATTCTGAGATCATTAAAAATTGTATGTCTTGATATAGAATCTATTTTTAAATAACCTTGATATTTCAAACATATGATTATTAAACAAACACAATTTCATAATATTAAATAATAAATATATAACATTTTGTTTTCTTGCTGTATCATTTTTGTGGGTAATGGATAATTGATTAAACATTTTTGTTAGTTATTAAATACATAAATGTATTGAAGGTTTAAAAGCATTATTTTTTAACCTCTTTTACTATACATGTTGATAGTGATATAGATTATTTAGACAAATAAAACACCATTCTTAAAGTAAAAGTGTGATTGTAGTTTTTTTTATTCCTGAGATTTAAGCAGCTAAAGCTTTGGCAGGAGCATAATTGTTTGTGAATGTTAGTGAGAATACTGGTTTTATACAGTCATAATGCCATTAAAATATTTGACACAGTAATCTATCAAGCTGTCAATTGTAAAAACACTCTTGAATTTGGGTTAAAAAACAAATTATTATGAATTATAATTATTTATGTTATTGGCTAATAAACACGCAGTTGATACTATAAAAGAAAACAATTTTATTTCAGCAGTTACTAACTTTTTTTTTAACTTGCATACCCCAAAGCTAAATCTTACTAGATAGTGGTTTGGGCCACACATAACCTTTAAACTTTTAAAACATAACTGCTCAGCACAGTCCTCTTAAAATGTATAAATAAAAAATAAGTTTTAAAAATGTTTACTTCTTTGGTGGCTGCTTTAAAATATTTCTCTATAGCCAAAAGAACTACCTATCTGCTGACCTTCTGTAAGGTATATTAACCATTGGTGGAATTATCAAGTACCTAAGTGTATGGTATGATTTTTACGTATTCTTGCATTATTGAATCTCAAACAGTAACACCCAATAGCGTTTTTTGATCAAAATTGGGAAAAAATCTAAAATTTTCTCAAAACATAGATAATTCAATGAAACTTAGTGTTGAAAAATAAAGTATTTTAGCACTACTTATGGTTTTTCATACACCACTTTTTTCATCTGAACTCAGCGCCATTGATGTAACCGTTTTAATTAAAATATAGGAAATAGTTAAATCATCAGCCTTCAAACCACAAGAGTGGAATTGGCACACTTAAAGGGAAGGAACCACTTAATACCTCAAGAAAATATAAAATTAAAATGCATTGTAAATTTTAGTTATGAACAAAAAACATTAGTCACGTTTATTGGCGTAATGCTTTTAATTATTAAGTTGCAGACATATTAAATTTAGTGCCTTAGAAAGTTAGAACAAACATTTTTGAAAAAAAACCAAAAAAAATAAACATGTTTAACTAAACTGCATATTTTATCAGCGAAAATACCAAATATAACAAGTAGTAATTCATTTTTATCAAATAAATAAAAATGACATAAGACCAGCCATAGGCTAGTTAAGTTAAGGATTATATCTTTATTTTGTGAGTAATGCAATACTAATGAAAAATAATAATACAAATTCTTGTTTATTAGTATAACAATAAAAATCATAAAACGCTGTACAAACAATTTTTTTTCTCACAATAATTATTATCAATAGATTAATGCAGCTAGTTTCACAATTACAATAACAGTATTAATAAAAAAAATATACATTTTTGCAAAATTTGGAGTTCTTATGAGATAAAAATATAATTGACAACATGTGAAATATTAAAATTAAAAATACGCATTATTTCAGTTAATACAAATTATTAAAATATGTTCGAATAGACAATGAACACAGTTTTTAAAATTGGCGGAATACCAGGTTTTGATTAATAATAAATATAATTAACAAAATAAAAAATTTACTATAAATTATAGTACAATCTTTGCTATGCTAGGAATCTATAATACAGAAATATCACATTTTATATGTCCACCACAAAACATTACTTAAATACTTTAAAAAATGATGCAACACCATCAGTCTTTGACTTTTTTTTCTTATCTGTATGATTGCTACGTCGTTGACCTTGAATTGGCATGTATGGAGGAACATCGTCTAATGATGAAGATAGAGCAGTAGAAGTACCTGTAATTTCAATTCATAATTATTTTACTTTTTTAATAGAAATTAACTGACACACTTACCAAAATTGTCTTGTAGTTCTGTTCTTCTTGAACTATATGTCGGATCAATAGCAATAGCAATATTAGAAATAGGTTCTTGGGTAGTTGATACAACTTCAGACAATTCTTCCAAATGCTGTTGTTTTTTAAGCAATGCTTTTTGTTTTGCTTTTTCTCGAGCTCTCCTCAGTCGAGCTTTTTCCTAAAAAAAATTGTACCTTAACAAACTTCTCTTATATTTAACTTTATAAATCTTACTTTTTCTTGTAAAAGCTTAGCCAATTCACAGTCTTGTGTTTCAATAGCAATTAATCTATCCCTATCTTCAATTGACATGGGACGTCCTTCTTGTTCTTGTAGTCTCTTGGCCAATTCCTTATATTTATTTATTAATAATTATTTATTTACTTTACATACCAATTTAATAAGAGGTAAATTATTTTAACATACTGTTGCTTATATCTTTAGAATTTGACGAGTGTAACTCTAGTCACGGTTGTAAATATTAACGTGTACTAAAGACTACACCCGTTAAATGCTATGACTTAAGGATCTAATAATTAATTGATACAATATAAAGAACAAAAAGGAAGAACTCACAGCATCCTTTTGTTCTTGAATTCGACGGCTGACCTCTTCTTCATAGTCAATGTCATGCAAAATATCATCAATATCAAACTCAGTATATTCATTGGACTCTTCTGTGAAACTTTAAAAATTGTTCAATATTTATTTATTTAATTAGTAAAATTTGAATCTTAATTAGATTATTATAATAAGACATTTGATAAGAAACATACTTTTTAGAAGATTCTGGTTGACAGTGTTTTTTTAATATTCCTGGTCTACCTCCTCCAGCTGAATTCGCATTAACCCCAATTTTATGGGTATATTGATTTTTTGTTAATTTTTCAGCTAATTTCTTAGCAACTTTGAGATCTTTTTCTTCCCTTAAAAATATAAATAAAATAAAATGATTTAGTCATATTTATCTGATTGTTTTACTTTATTGAGATATGAATAAACATTAAAAGATTAACAAAAAACAAAGACAAGATAAACTGAAAAGGTCCACACTGTTAAATACATAGACCCGTGTGTAATATAAAATTAAGAATATGTTTAATTATAGTTATATTATTGGCTAAAAGAGCATTAATATATGAAAGGATAATACCAAGGGGGGGG